ATATTACATCAAAAAGCTTCGATGACTTTAAGGTAATAAGAATCTCTCAAAATATGAAACATTTAACAGCAACTTAAGATTGAGAGTCGGAAGTGAGCCGGAATCGCTCTCTGTTTGCTTTGCGTCCCTTAGTGATTGATCAAGAGATACAAAAATAACTGAACCAATCAAGACTTGACCATTTACATTTTCCTACGCTTGTAGAACTTCGCTTCTTTTTACTTTAAGTTCTCATTGGCTGATAATGATGTTAACTTTTACTCTGATTGGCTGTTGTGATTACTTTCGCTTCAGAAGTTTTGGCACGTAATTAAAAAACTGTTCTAATTCTGAACTTGAATCAGACCTCACGCTGTGACTTTTAGCTGACGCCGGCATGAGGTGCTGTTTCTTCATAAATCAAGTGGCATGTATTTCCACGTGTTATTTACACCTCACATTCCAGCTTAGCGCAACATCAAGGGAGTAATTACACCGAAGCCTTTCTTTACCTAATTAGGACTAAGCCTTGAGATGTTCGAAGAACACTGAATCAGAGAAGACCGCAAATTTTGGAGACATGATTTGTCAACGATCCACCTTTACTACACTTCATCATTCCAGCAATTCCACGCGATGACTAAAATCAAGATCCTCGTAAGATACACTGAAATGTCTGTTAACTGAGACAGCTTTAGGATTGAGCGATCACATCATGACGTACAGACGTAACAGACATCCGGGAAGTCCGTGACTAACTCAGTAATCGCCGTATTCTCAGCAGTAATGGAACGAACACTTCATTAGAAAGCTGTCTATTTACGCAGTATAACTTCTTAAGCACCCACTTTCAGTAATGACTCACTGCTTAGGACGTTATGATCCTGATTAGAATTCTGGTTTTTGCACAAGAAATTTGTAACATTTGTAACGAACGCTTAGATCATTTCTCTGACATTAATTATTGATTCTTAACAAAAATGCCAGCATTATTCACACGCATATGTAAAAGTTAGCATTAACTATTTGTAGTTTGCACGGTAGAATGTTGTGTCAAATCAGCTAATGTTTAAAAAAACCCAATTCCGTCTCTCCTTCCATTATGTACAACCCTTGCACGCAACCAAGAGAATATTCTCTGGATGCAACTAATTCACAGCACTCTCTTCGACTGAGTACTAATTCACATGTCCCAAACGCAATAATGAAAACAAATTCATTCATTAAGTAATAGATCCCCAAAATACAATGTAATGATGACAAGCATTAACTAACCACTGTTTTAATTGGACTAATAAACTAACTTTCTAATTAACCGATTACTTACCAACTCACATACTAATTGACTAACATACTAACTAACCAATTAACTAATTGCAAGGGTAACATACTAATATATACTAATACATACTAATATAGTGACAACTAATAATGAAACATGCCAACATCTTTCTCTGAACTCTTCTCTACTATTCTCAATATAGCTAATAGGTTTACTAACTCTCAAACTAACTAACACACTGGCTCCCCACGATCAGCAGTTTATCTTTCTGTAACATACTAATAATTTATACGATGTCTAACAGATATGTTTTGTTCTGTACGTGTCCTCAGTTCCTTTATCAACTACTCTCTTACTAACATTATACCAATTAATGAAATCACCAACTAAGCTTGGCATTAACTAACTTTCAAATTTACTGCCTTACTATCTAGCCAACTAACCAACTAATTAATAGGATAACTGACTAACTAATTTATTACGTAACCAATTAATTACCGAACTGACTAACAAAATAACTAACTGATTAGCTAAAAAAATGATTACCAAACCAACTAACTAACTAAAAAACTAACGTACTGATCAACTAACTATTTAACCACTCGACTTACTAATTTGTAATAAAAACACCCACCGATATCTTTGAGTGTAACATAACGATCCAAGTTAATTCTCTCGTCCTCAATCCCCATATATATACTATATTAATTTTCTCACCTACCGCAGTGGTTGCACAATCAATTTGACTTAAAAATAACCATTACAGTGGAGTGACTAACTGAGATTAACTTAATAACATACCTATTACTAATTACTGAAAGGCATTGCTCATATCCCCTAATTAATTGCCTCTCTAACTAACCGGCTCTAGATAACCCTTTGTACTAATTCTCTATCCTCAACTGATTTTTCTCCTTAATCAATTCTTCGTCTAACACAACTTTGCTCTTTTATATATCTTTCTGTCAAAACAAAATTTTCTTCCCTTCACTGAACAGTTTCCTCTTTGATCAATACACTTGGAAAGTAATTTCCAATAAAATCATTCTCAGTTAAATAACCAAGGGCAAATTTATTCATTACCATTCAGCATGGCGACTGAGATTCACAACAATCTAGTTTTGTTCTGATCTCCTTATTGTGCTTATTGAAACCTTTAATCAAAGTATTAGTTGATCATTCTTCATTTAGTCGTTTTATTAACCATATGGATTTCAGAATCTTGTCTTAAAAATTGTTCAACTCTGGAATGGAATGTTAGAAACTCTCAGTCGTTTTTCGTTTTATTTCTTATAGTAAAAGAGCTCAACTATAGTTTACTTTCAGCAAAGTTGAAATAAAATTTGGTTTGTTACTTCATCGATACGTTCAGTCATTTTCATTTGATATATTTGTTCATTTATTATCTTGCAATGATAGTACTCGATATTTTGATTTAATATAAATATTAAAGTAAAGTAAATATTTAATATAAATATTTAATCTACAAGAAAAAAGTCGACCTTTCAAATAGTCCTCTTCAGGCAATGAAGTCAACTGCACACGCTTAAGTGAAGACGACTGTTAGGATGCAGCTGAATCGTCGAGATCCACGTCAAAAGTTGACTACATTGTAAAACAAACTATTCTACTTCATTCGTTACTGCGTTTAGCCCTATTAGACTCAGACCCGGATAGGGCAGGTAAGGGAAGTGTGAGTTACTATCATCAGTGGAGAAGTGTCGATACATTTTCAAAATGGCTAACAGTTTCTGCCAAAGGTACAAGCCCTACTGCCTTGCAGTATTCAAGATACGTGTCACAAAGAGCCGTGTAATGGCCTTACTCACCGTAACTCTCTATGGCTTAAAGGGACAGCATCAAAGCGCGGAAACCGAAGGTGTTACAGCTTCTCGACGCTCGGCCGACGGGATATCTAAGTTTTCGGGCATGCGCGGTCACCAAGTTAACGCTCCTGTTTGTCTTTCAGCTTTTTCTCCATTTTGAACTTAATGTTGCATTAAACGCTGTGTACAATATATAGGGCTAGTTTGATCGACGCCTCCGTGCAAGAGTTTGATTCAAAATTTTGATTTTCAAGGTTAGTCACCGTTTGAGGCAACAGAAAGTCTAGCTTCTATTTTACATGAGGACTCTGAATGTTTTCAATGAAACTTGCTCGTAACAAGACGAAAAATCGTCCTTTTCTACTTTTACTTATCACAAATTTGAGTAGAGAAAAAAATAGCAATTATTATGTAATTAAAATCTAGAATAAAACCTTAAAAAATGGTGCACTCTTCACTGTGCGTAATTTATTTATCTCTCTGTTACCCTGATTTACCAGCAGTATATTGTTGCCCAATAGTTTCTTACTGTCAAATGATCAGTCAAGGAATTTTTTCCTCAGAACATGTCTAGACCTGTAGCGGCACTTTCTCCTAAACTTCAAGCAACGACTGAAGATATGCAGCAAATCGCACTCGACTTCCTTGATTTCCCTCTGACCAGGTTCAAAAAAATCTTACCAAACTGATTTATAACAATTTATTAGGCTTAAACTTTAGATAACTAATATACAAACGGCAGATTGGCCTTAAATATATCACTAATCAAGACTTCTCAGCCCGCCTTTCTTTAATTTGGTGATTGGTGGTGACAAGGCAAAGTTGCACTCCATCTCCACCAAACAATAACAAAAAAATGCCAAAAGCTGATTGAAAATCAAAATTCTTCTCTTCGCTGATGCAAGATAACACAGAAACAAATTTACAGCTTCAATTTTGTGGATCAGCCTATCACACATATTTTGAGTTACTGAGATTAACTTGACAAAATTATACCCCAGTCAGCAACTTCCACTCCGCTACGGAAGTTACACCCATACGAAGCCACGCTTATTGGAAAGTAATCCATTAATTTTTCATTTCTCCATAGATGCTTATTCTTAGTGTTTTTGTTTGTTTGTTTGTTTTTTTCACTTCAGCTATAGTTTGTAATTGATCCATCATAGAATGGTCAGTTTTGAAACTTACCCAAATTTTCTCTGACCGAGTAACAAGTGAGTTATGATCTTACTGTGATGTAATGACATGGTAACGCAACCATCACTCGACATAAAGATTTAGACATCAAAGAAATGTAATACAGAAATGAGCCATGGGATTGCTTTCTTCGATTTTAGCTCACTCAGATTAGGCGATCTTTTCTTCCCGGCTAGATGATGTTCCTCAGTATCAAAGAAGAGTCTGCCTCAGGATAAATTAAAAAAACTGAAGATGAAAATCCCCATAGCTTAATTTTTTCCTACTTTGATTGTATTATCCAAGAGTTGTATTCAGTAATTTCCCGCGTATTTACTGCCTCATTGTCCCTCTAGATCTGAAGTAGTTACCAGTCAATGAAATATCAAAGCCATGCAATTACACTTTTTACAACCGATATCAGATTAGTGCCACGTAACATGTATGCAGAGCTTCATCTCAACTATGTTAACGCACTTGACAAAGTTCACGAACCAAGTGACATGAACGCAAAAGTGACACAATCCATCGCAAGAATAGTGGTTTTTCTTAATCAAATCAAGATCCTAGCATTATGCTTTTATCTGAATAAAGAACGAACGATATCACACTATCTAAAATTTGTTTTCTTATAGTTTCTCCTGTTGTGGAAAGGGATAACGATGCTCTGTAAACGGTATTGTAACGCTGTTTCCAAAATGGACTCTCCTTTTCCCCTTTTGATTGACTGTCGATGGCTCTCTAATATCCACGTCATTAGAAATGGCATCGTCGATACGTCTGGAAACCTTATCTACCTTTAAACGCAGGATGGGCAGCTGAAGGGTATCAATGGTCTTGAGCTGCTCACTGATTTCATCAAAGAAAGTCTTTGTCTTGAGGCACTTGCTGATTTTATCAAAGAATATCGCGCGATTCCCTCTTTCGGTTGTCTCTCCTTCACGCATTTTCTCCCCTTTCCTCTCGTTTTCCTTATTCTCTGATGAAACGTCAACTCCGTCAGTCTTGTCAACAATTGTATTCACAGGCTGCCCAGCAGTTACCGCCTGTTCAGTTTCCCTATCTATTTCCGCAGTCTTAGCTTCGGCGAGGGAATCATTTAATGTGGAGACAAAAAAATTCATTAAAACTATGGTAATGCTAAAAAGAAGTGAAACCGCAAAAAGGTGTCCAAAAATTGGGATGCCTTCAGCGAGTTCCTTTATGGGTCGAGCCTTTACTTTGCCAAGAGTTATCTCCAGCTGGAAAGCAAAGGCCCGCCAAAAGCTCGCGTACCTGCCGATGGATGGACCGAAAACTAAAATCCCCGTGTGCAGAAAAGCAAGAAATATGATCGATAAGACCATACAAAACGAGGGAAGGTCGTGCATCCAGATCCTAAGAGCATTAGAGAACAACCGCGTGTAGAAATTAAAATAGGTAAGTTGTAGTAGCTTAAAGGTTGTTACGAAAGTGAGAAAGGCGAGAAGACTGTTTTCAACTTCTACCCATACGAGGGGCGTTTCAAAGTTTATATGAGCAAATATGTTTTCATCCAGCCTAAGTACACTCATCTTTGTGAGGTAAGACTTCATAAAACTTGATGCAAGTAGTAGAATGGATGTCGCTAAATGGCCAAAATCAAGCAAACACCGAAAAGAGCAAAAGTATCGGCACCGCCCTTTAACTACATGTGCTATTGTTTCGCCGATTTTGAAAATAACCATGGATATAAAGAACACAAAGCATATGCCTTGAAAAATCTGTAGGAAGGATTCTGTGGTGTACAGCGAGATGGTATCGATGCTTCTTTTAACCGTTGCCTGGCCAGTTTGGAGAAATTCTACAAAAAAAGACGAGACAGCCAAAATGTTTGTCCCTGGATTTAAAAGCAAAAACTCCAACACGATGGCACTTGTTTGACGATCGACCCAAGTTTCTGATTGCAAAAGATTTGTTATCGCACGGGCAGTTTCTTCTTCGTAGCCCAGCTCAGCCAAATACCCACCGCCACCATACCAAGCATGGCGGCCCCATTTTGAAGAAGAGTCGAGTTCGCTTGCTGTTTTATGCAGCCATGGAATTGGACACTGATTGAACCGGAGTGACGAAGTTCCTTTCTTAGAACGAAGAGGCTCTCTGTATTCATTTTTGCGAGAGTAGGACTCTAAGCAAGGCTGTTGCCACCATTGTGTGACTTTGTCCGAAAGGCATTGAACTAAGTAGAAAATGAGTGTTAGGAGTTAAACTGTATTCATGCAATAATAATGAGAAAAGTGTATTAGGTCTACCTTTTTTCACTCTCAGCTGGCGCATTCTGACCATTCCGATCACTGTCGATGCCAGCTCACTGCTTTCTTGATTTGTCGAGTAAAGATATGTTATCAGCGACTCATTTATCCAGTTCCAGAATGAAGTTTCATCTTTCAACTACAAAAATAAGTAGAGAAAAATAGTACACAGGAGTTTTCCAACTCAAAATAATAGATATCATTTTTCCGTGAGTAATAATTACTTTACCTACATGCAATGATACTGGGGACCTTTGTTGGTTTTCGTCTCATAGGAAGGGAGCACATTTCAAAACTGTGTCAATGTATAATCATTACTATGCATATTATTTTCTTCTAAACTGATCAAGGTATTTCTTATTCCTGCCAAGAGAATCGTTAGAGACCATCCTTAGTTAAGTCCCAATTTTAAAGTCGAAAACAAGCAAAAGCAGTGCAGCATTTTATCCAACTAAGAGTTTCTAGGTGGTGCATGAATTGTATAAAATAAACAAAAATCATATATTTCAGAGGAAAATTTTAATTGCCTTTAAGAGTGATTGAACTGGACTCAAGCTTATGACCACCTTGTACTGAAAAGCTCTGTGTATGCATAGTATTTTTCTATAAGATAGGGAAAATTGTAAAGTTTGAGCTGGGTCATCCCAACTAAAAAACTGTGATCTTTCCTTTTCTATCCGTTTATTTCCTTACCTCCTCAAAACTTTCCGTGTGGTCCTCCAAAGTTTTGACGAACAGATATCTTGAAAAATCTCTGTTTCCGTACGTAAGGACACCAACAACTACAAGAAAGAAAATGTAAAAGAGAGTCTGTCTAATTATTAACCGACGCCTGGCCATTGCCACACCTTTTTTCCTCGATGCTGACAATTCATTTGGCTTTGCGGATGCTGAACTTCGATTGTCATCTGCAGATTCCACAGGGGACTGTTTACTGCAAAATACCTTTCTGACTCTGCAGTTTGACAACATCGAGGCCAGCACAGCGAGGAAAAAGCATTTAAGAGGTTGCAACACAAAGATATCTTGAAAAATGGAAACAGAGACTGACGACATCCACTCTTGACTTTTTTCGCTTCCCCACATGAGACTGTATGACACAGTCAAACCTGCCGACGTGGCAGTCACTAAGCCAAGTAGACCCCACGTCAAGAAAAGCACGCATCGCCAAAATCGATTCTGAGGACTTGCTGAGGCCTTACTAAACAGCGTAATGATGATGTGAGTTGGCAAGGTGAGAAGGATACTCCGAAGGCTTGTAAGAGCTTGTCGCGCTGAGAATCGGAGTGGTCCCAGGCTGATTTTTTGGGAGGGTTCGTTACCCAAGTAATAAAACACAGCATTGGCATCCATTGTGCAGTAGAGTAAACAGAGGCATGAAGAGATTCTCTGGAATCTAGAAAAGCAACTCCCAGGGGTTTTCGTTAAGATAGACATCCACAGATGCCCATCGGAAAACATTTCGCGTAAGGCTCCAGCTGTTATGCTTCCCTGAGCGTTGGAAGGACTCTGCGAACATTCATTTGATAGAGATTCATCCTCCAGGCTTAGCCATGTTTCAAATGAGAATTTCCAACTATTGTCGGTTCCAGCAGGAACGATTTTAATGTATTACAAAAACCAAGAAGGATCATTACCAGAGTTATCGTGGCTGACGTGAAGATTGTAAATATCACCTAAAATTTTGTCTAAAATGGCCGCGAATTTGTGTTCGGTTCCTCTGGCAAACTTCAGGTGGAACCCTGCATCGAAGTCTTGTCGGATAGTAAGGATGTCGCTCCTGCCTTCGACTCCAAAGAGTACGAAGGATACGTTAGCGGTTGTACCGGATCCTAACCAGACACCAGTCTTAATGGTCAGCTCGTAACGACAATTAGCTAACTCTGATGCTTGATAGAACACTGGAGGCTCTGAATCTTGCAGCTGAAAATAGATGTTTAAAGTTGATTTAGGTGTTATACAAAGATATTAACAACTGGCTTAAGGACTAACGCTCGGGCTTTGGGGTGTAGCGATTGTTCTTAGTGCTAGGCCATCTATCACCATGTTATCACGATGAGGAAAAATCCCTTTTTATTAAGAGCAATTGCTCAAAAAAACTTATTTTGGCGATTTATATCATATTTTACTACATCGTGTTTGGAGAAACATTTTAGGTAGTTTTCAACAAATCCTATAGAGAATACATGCATATAGAATTCGCTGCATAAAGCAACATCTCAGCAAGTTGTTCAAGTGTCGGAATAGTTCATTCAACTGACCTTAGCTCTATCTTTTCGGTCTTCTCTTCTTGCGAAAACGATTGCAACCAGGTAGAGAAGCAAAGTTGCTTGGAGGATAGCAAGGACAAGAAATTTTCCGCTCTCATTCGGTGAACGAATCTCTAGAAAGACTTTGACAAAACTAACATCATTTGGAGACACCAGATAGACTCCTCCAAACGACGTCAAGTGGTTGCAGATACATTTCATATCTGAATTTTTTATGACCTCCTCAACCTTTGAAAAAAAAAGTATCAATTAGCGTGGTTGTAAAAGCAAACTTTAGAACATGTGTCATTTTCTGAATCAAAATACATCGCCTGATCACGCATATACAAAGACAAAAAAAATAAATCAAATCAGACACTCCTCTTATTGTTTTTGGTTATAAAATCTTTCACGAATTGCCAGCAGGCAACGCAGCGACATATAAGATGAAAATTGGTTCTAATCGCGAAAACAAAGGCGGACACGAGGTATAGCTTCCATCAATTTATAGAAAAATCGACAGTTACAATTGCGGACAAAATCTGTTGAAATAGTCTATTCACAGGCACAGTTTTACTTTTCCAAACAATAAGTACTGACGTGAAAAAAAAAAAAAAAAAAATCCCCTTCTCCAACCTTTTCTTACTTAGATACACCCAAATACGATTTCTGAAAATTAACATTAAAGGAGGGAAATGGGGAAGGAGAAGTAGGAAATATTGTTTTAGGTTAAAAGTAGGGATACATTTAATTTAGTTTCCCAATGATTTTTTCCGTGATTGCAGGTAGATCAACAGTAATAGGATCTATTTTTTTTAACGGGTTTTTTTTTATAGCGATTGCTAGCTAATTCTTATTCCCTTACCCTGCATCCTGTAGTTTTCCAAGCAGATGTTTCTGTTTCCCAGAAAAGGCAAGCTGACTCACTCACTTGGACACTGATATTTTTTACTTCAAACACTGTAGGTGGTTTTTTTATTGTGACGCAGGAAGCATGGCTTCGGTCAGGTCTGGGCGACTGAGTCGTTTTCTTTATTTTGCTTTCTTTAACATTTGATACAGCAACATTACCGTCGCAGTTTATTCGGCCTTTTTTGATTCAGTTATTCCCGACGTTTTCACAATCTGCATAATTCTGATTTGTGGCTGAGGTCACTTTCACCTTTGAGATGACCAGGTCGCTGCTTTGGGGCTTAAACGACACGTTAACGAAGGACT